GAGAGACCGTGTTTCAAAAGGCTAGCACTAGGGAGTTTGTGGTGATGGAATAGTTCTGTATGCTGACTATGGTAGTAGTTATGTGATTCTATAAAAGACAAAATTTCAGCCAGGCGCGGTGGCTCACGCCTATAACCAGCACTTTGGGAGGCTGAGGTGGGCAGATCACGAGGTCAGGAGTTAAGAGACCAGTCTGGCCAACAAGGTGAAACCCCGTCTCTACTAAAACTACAAAAATTAGCTAGGCGTGGTGGTGTATGCCTGTAATCCAAGCTACTCGGGAGGCTGAGGCAGAAGAATCACTTGAACCCAGGAGACAGAGGCAGCCATAAGCCAAGATCATGCCACTGTACTGCATCCTGGGAAACAGAGCAAGACTCCATCTTGAAGGAAAAAAAAGGTAAAATTTCATACGGCTATACACCAAAAAGTAAATAAATGAGTGCGTGTAAACACTTGTGAAACCTGAGAGGTCTGTGGTTCAGTTATTAGCATTATAGCCAATGTCAATTGCTTGCTTTTGTTCATTTACTATGCTTATGCATGATATTATCACTGGAGGACACTGGAAGAAGAGTATATGGGAACTCTGTATTATTTTTGTAATTTCTTCAAGTGTCTTCTGTTTAGCCCTCAGTTTCACTCAACAAATGTAGGTACGATTTATATTGCACACTATTGAAACAGAGAAAGTGAATTAACTGACAGCCTCATCAAGTACCTTTATCACTGGGAGTCCTGTAATGTTTATACCAAACAAGAAGCTATCTTAATAGTAAAAATGGAGCCTAAGCTTTTTAGGCAAAGTCTAATTTGATCACTTATTACCACATCTAATTTAAGGCCATATCTAATTTTTTTTGAGACAGTCTTACTTTTTCACCCTGGCTGGAATGGGAATGCAGTGGCATGATCTTGGCTCACTGCGACCTCCACCTCCCGGGTTCAAGTGATTCTCCTGCCTCAGCCTCCTGAGTAGCTGGGACTACAGGGGTGTGGCACCACGCCCAGCTAATTTTTGTATTTTTAGTAGAGACACGGTTTCACTGTGTTGGCCAGGCTGGTCTCGAACTCCTGACCTCAGGTGATCCACCAACCTTGACCTCCCAAAGTGCTGGGATTGCAGGTGTGAGCCACTGCACCTGGCCAAGGCCACATCTAATTAAAATGTCTAAGGAGTTTTGGAGCCTGAATTTAGACTGCAGATTAATTCAACAAAACAATGTCTCTTTCTACTAAACATGTGCCAAGAGAAGAGGAACCATTACTAAAGCCTACTCTAGAAGGTGTTCTACTATGAGAAGGTTGATAGAGTTTGGATGTTTGTTCCCACCCAAATCTCATGTTGAATTGTAATCCCTAATGCTGGAGGTGGGGCCTGGTGGGAGGTGTTTGGGTCACAAGGGCGTGTCCCTCATGGTTTGGTGTTATCTTCAAGATAGTGAGTTCAGGTGAGATCTAGTCGTTTAAAAGCTTAAAAAGTGTATGGCGCCTACCCCCCTCCCCACCACTTCAAACCTCCTTTCTTTATAAATTACCCAGTCTCAGATGTTTCTTTAGAGCAATGCAAAAATGGCCTAACACAAGTTATTTGGTAAATTAGTTGCTATGATAACTTTTAGGCATCTTTAGAGAAAGCATTAGTACTGCGAAAATTGGATTTTAAAATTTTAGGCTGGGCGCGGTGGCTCACGCCTGTAATACCAACACTTTGGGAGGCCAAGGTGGGTGGATCACCCCAGGTCAGGAGTTCGAGACCTGCCTGGCCAACATGGTGAAACCCTGCCTCTACTAAAAATACAAAAATTAGCTAGGTGTGGTGCCGCACCCCTATAGTCCCAGCTACTTGGGAGGCTGAGGCAGGAGAATCACTAGAACCTGGGAGGCAGAGATTGCAGTAAGTCGAGATTGTGCCACTGCACTCCAGCCTGGGCAACAGAGTTAGACTCTGTTCTCAAAAAAGAAAAA